GGGGGGGGGCACCGCCGAGGTCTGGTCTCTGCACCACGCCGCCGAGGGAGTGCCCAAAATGCTGCGAAACAGCACATGACATCAAGGCCGCTGAATACTCTGCATTTATACAGAATTATACATCGATGGGATAGGCGTTTGGCTTCTCCTCGACCCACGATAGCTGCCACGGCCCACGACGGCACTTCCCTGTTGTTACTAACACAGCGTTGGAGGACAGCCGCAACGGGATGGTACGTGAGGAGCTCATCCAGCTCCCCTCCTCAGCCTTTTGGATGCAGTCAAAAATTTTCAGTATGACCTTCAGTTTTAGTGAGCCCCGCTCTTAAATAGTGATAATCCCAAAATAAATGTGTGACCATTTTTAAACTTCCCGCCCTTAATGGCGGGTTTCGCATACTTGGTACGTAGCTGTGAATCTCTCATACTCACGCCTGAGATGCTGCTGTGCGGGTTGCCTACTTTTGAAGAAGGCTCCGTAAACTCTAAACAGACGTCAGGATATCTGTTTGTGTTGTAAACTTGATTATTATGGCGTTGTAATTTAGTCTCTTGTTTCGATAGTTACTCCACTATACGTCTAAAGAATAATTTCACTTAGATTCCGGCCTCGAAATGTTGTACCTAGAAGATTATCTTGAAAGTAAGTGAAACTTGGTACAATCAAAGAGGTTATGTATATGTTTTTCATATAAAAACTTGATGCTTAAAACCCCCTTTTCACCCACAGTGATCGAGCACCTCCCGCAGGAGTTGCGAGATCGTTTCACAGACATGCGAGAAATGGATCTTGGTGTTCAAAGTTGGTTTCAGTCGTTGTCCTGGTTTTGCCCAAGTTTGTGTTCTGTATGACAATAATCCTCTTTTTCTGTTATGCAGATTCAATAGATGGGTTAGAAAAGAAAGTTAAAACTTTCTTTACTAATGCTAAACGCCTTCCAAAACTAGAAAGGGATGCAGAACATGATTGCATCCGAAAAGAATATTATAAAACATTAGAAGACGCAGGTAACACAACATCATCGCTTGTGTTTTAATACATAGACTTGGTTAAATCCAAAACTTTTACAACATTTTATTATTTGATTTCAGATGAAAAGGTGCAACTGGCCAGTCAAATGTATGAATTAGTTGATCGATACCTCCGGCGATTAGATTCTGAACTATTTAAATTCAAAATTGAGCTCGAAGCAGACAATGCAGGAATAACAGAAATATTAGAAAAAAGTATGTTTAGAGCAATTCCCTCTTTCAAGATCAGAAATGAATGGTTCACCTTCTAATCAACTTTACTATTTGTAGGGTCCTTAGAACTAGATGCTCCTCCACCCAGTAGTGGGGAGAAAGAAAATCGCTACAACTACAGCTCAAGACCATCGAATTCAGGCAAACAGAGTACGCTAAAATACTCAACACTTTGTCTTGTCTTGCAGCCAATGCACTTGTTACATGTCTCAATTGTGATGCAGAAAAACGGCGCGATTCGAACGCAGTGGGTGGCGTTGGGAGCGGTTCAACTGATAGCCGGAGCTCTAGTCATAGTGGTTCTATGTCGCACGGCCACCGGGACCCTCACGGTGGCCACAACCACCGCGACAGCCATGGCCACCGGGACAGTCACCACGGCAGTCACCGGGACAGTCACGGGAGTCATCGCGACGGTCATGGGGGCCACCGCGATGGTCACGGCGGCCACCGAGACAGTCATGGCAGTCACCGAGATAGTCACGGAAGTCACCGTGACAGTCTCGGTGGTCATCGTGACGGTCACGGCGGCCATCGTGACGGTCACGGGGGTCACCGTGATAGTCACGGCGGTCACCGGGACAGTCACGGCAGTCACCGGGAGAGCCACGGCGGTCACCGGGAGAGCCACGGCGGTCACCGGGAGAGCCACGGCCACGGCGTGCACCGGGACCGGGACCGTGACGGGCACGCGGCGGGCTACAGGGACCGCGACAGCCACGTCCTGTCGTACGGCCTCGCCCCCGGCATGCTCAAGGACCGGGATCGGGACCGCGACAGAGACCGGGACCGGGATCGGGATCGGGACCGAGACCGGGACCGTGACCGCAGCCTGTTCGGCCAGACCCACCACCAGCTGCAGGCCGGCCTCGGCCACGGCCTGGAGGGCTCGGGCTCGTCGCGCGCCGCCGCCAGCCAGGCGCAGCTGCAGCAGCAACAGCAGCAGCAGCTCGGCAACGTGTCGCCGGCCACCTCCACGTCGGCGTCGTCCTCGGGCGTGCCCTACGGCCTCGGACACATGGGCGCGGGAGGGAACGCCATCGCGGCCGCCGCGTCGCAGGCCATCGCGGCCACGCAGCAGGTGAGGCTGGGGGCTGGGGCTGGGCTGGACGACTGGAAGCGGGCGCTCAAACTCGCTGTACAAAAATGTCTGCCGCGGCTCTCCATTTACTACTGAAAAAAAAGAGAGATAGCGAGAAAGCAGATGCAGCGCTTGGCAGAGGCAGCTTTATTGAACAGCTACACGCACATTTTTCAGCCTAAGGCATTCTGCCTGAAATACGTCATTATATGAATATATTGCTTGTAGGGTAATCATTAGTAAATTTGACTTATATTTACCCCATCTGTTCATTTGTATGGTTTTCATTTGTGTGTCAGTTTGTATGTGTTTGTGTGCTTGTCATTTGTCACCGTGGGTATCATTTATAAGACTTACTTGTCTTTTAGTAGAATTGGAAAAAAACTATTCTCAGAGTAGGTGCAAGTTGGTGAAAGGATAGAAACTGATTTTATATTTCTCTTTCACAAATCTTTTTGTGCTTTCATTTTGGTACAACAGACTGAAAGGAGTACTCAAGTGGATTCAAAGGAGGTAAATATGAGTCGCATGATGCTAGTAAAACTCATGTCCTTTTCTGTTGTTCCTTTTAAAAAAAAAGATTCAGTTAGTATACTATCTTTAGGTCTTTGTTATTTTAAGACAAGTGTGTATGTTGGAGTGTATGTTATTTTTGTTGCCAATCTTTAGTGCGTAGCTTGTAAGCTTCACCGGATTATGTAAAAAGCAAACTATTTTCCTTTTTTTTTACAGTTTTTTTTAGAGCAAAACTGCAAGGGCTTTTTGCTTCTGCTTGTACCTAACTCTAATTTTTAGTATGGTATCCTAGTTGTGTGTTAATATGTAAGGTGGTGCTGTGAATTTTGATTCAGAACTCCAATTTGTCTGCATAGCAGTGCTGTGGCTGTTTTTAAGGCTTTGCATTTCATCTTTTTACAGTTGACATTCTCTCCATCTCATAATCATGAGTACTTTTAAATAGCCTAAAGAATTTTTTTAAACTAACCTTTCAATGACAATTGTTTTTTAGTAGGCAAAAAACACCAGCTGCACCTAAAATAGTGTATTACTCATTTTTGATGTTATGGGGAACAGCATTAATTGCTCATCCCAAAAACTCTGCAGTGTTATGGTTTTGATAATTTTTATGTTTTTTAGATGCAACAAGGCCGTCGCACTGCAAGTCTGAAAGCATCCTATGAAGCAATCGGTGGTGTGCATTCTCATGACTTTGCCATTGGACGTGAAATTGCCGGAGCAGCCCAAACTGCACTTGCTGCAATACATGAAGTTCCCAAGAAAAAGAAGTAAGTGCTCATTTTATGTTCATAGTAGTAGGTGGCGTCTTGTCCTTACTGTCAAGTTTACTATGTTTGATTGACATTTATTATTGATTTTCCAGAAAATCTAGTGCGTCAAGCTCGGCTCACGCACTGTCCTCAGGTTCTTCAGGCCTGGGATCTTCTGTGGCAAGCCCTCAAATCTCTGCCTCATCATCTGCTTTGGCTGACACAGGGCCACTAGCAGGAGATGCAGCTGAAGAGGGTTTACTGGATCCAAATGGAGATGGACTGGGAGATGGAGACAATCCCGATTGGGCCTACGACCCCAATGAACCACGTTATTGCCTTTGCAATCAAGTGTCCTATGGTGACATGGTGGCCTGTGATAATGAAGATGTAAGTACTGCAGTCTTTATTAATACATATCCGTGCTTGGTGAAGAATTCTTCTGAAAAATTAAATCTCCTTTTTGTTCCTTTCAGTGTCCATTTGAATGGTTCCATTATGCATGTGTGAGTATCACTGCACCTCCTAAAGGTAAATGGTATTGCCCTCAATGCTCATCTTCTATGAAAAGAAGAAGGAAAAACTAGCATACAGCCTCCCGTAGGGATTGCCCTACGGGAGAGAAGGTAGAGAGACCACCTAAAAAGAAGAAGAAGAAGAAGGATACTTCACCTCCACCATCTACTAAGGACAGTGTTTCTGATTCTGGACCTCCTGACTTGGCCGAGTCAAGTCCCGTACCTGTGTGCAGTGATAGCTCCACTGGTGATGCTGACATTGCTGATCAACCAGTGGCTGCTGTAGTCAACACTTCTGTTCCTCCCATATTTCAAAAAGAAAAAACAGATCCTTTTGCTTTTACTCTTGAAGAAGAAGAAGAAGACTTGCTTTCTATGCCACCCACTATGGTCCATCCTCACCCAAAAGCTTTTTCTGAAGGCCCAGTCATTGCAAAAGTTGCTCCTAAAGTTTCCACAGCTGGCAAAACGGGTTCATCCGCATCAGCAGTGAAGGATGTTGTTCCGAAAGTTTCAACTACTGGTAAAATAGGGCCCAAAGTTCCAAATCCTGGTAAGGTCGGCGGTAAAGTTTCTAGCCCTTGTGCTCAGGGACCAAAAGTTGTGTCTGACAAGGTAGGCTCTGGTCCTGTCAAAAGTGGATCAAAAATTTCTGTGCCAACTAAAATTGTTTCGAAGTCTTCTATTCTGAACAAAGGAGTACCTAAAACAACCTCAACCAAAACTGGAGCAAAAGTTATTTCCTCAATCAAAGGTGGTTCTAAAGATGTCAAGGCTGGTTCTAAGGTTGCCCCTGTAAGCAAAGCTGTCTCTAGTAAAGCAGGCTCCAAGACATCCTGCTTTGGTAAGGCAGCTTTCATGGCACCTGTTTGGCAACCTAAGAAGGTGGGTGCTGCTTTAAGCCAAGGTAAAGTCCCAGGAGCTTCTCAAGGGAAAACTTCACCAGCAGCCTCTTCCGTTGGTAAAGTCACTTTTGGAGCAAATCCCGCCAAGAAGGTACCCTCTTTGGCATCTATCCATGCAAAGCTTGGTCCAAAAGTCCCCATATCAAGTGGCATCATGTCTACTTCTCGAAAAACAATTATGCCTTCTAAGAAAGTTACTTCTTCTAAAGCTTCTAAACAAAAATCTGCTAAGGCCTCAACTGCTAAAGTTGAGGGGGATCCTTCAGTAGAAGAAATGGAAGCAAATGCTGTTGCAGCTCTTGCACAGATGGGTCATTTCTAACTTCTCTTGCCAGAGGTCAATATCCTACTTTGGGATTGTCTTGTGACAGGAATTTTGTTGTTTGTTGCTGTTGTTATAGAAAAGAGGATGTTGCTAATTAGAACAATATTTCTAAACTGAAGAAATACTTCACCAGATTGGCTATGATAGGACATTTTAACACATTCCAACTCCTCTCTTCCTCTCTTGTCTTTGCTCTGAACGCATGAATGATCATTTTTTTTACTTCCTTTCTTACATGTGTAGAATTTTTTTCAAGATGATGCTCTTTCTCTAGTATTGTAGTGTTCTTTCCTGATAGTCTATTCTGAATTTTTTACAATAATATATGTAATCAACTGTATGCATGTTGATAGTTTAAAACCCTAAACAGATTGCCAATTTAAAATCAGTACATCCTAAAAATTAATTGTTTTTGTTTTTGAAATTGATAATGAAAGGGTATCTTATAGAATAGACTATGTTAAACAGATGTGTTTGATCTCTATAGGTATGTTGCTGACACTCCTGTCATTATCATATGCGGACTTCAACATTTTTTATTTGCTTTTAAAATATTTTTTTGTTAGCTTTTGGTTTATTTTAACAAATACTTACAGCTTTAGCGTACCGATGTGAGACTATTAATATGTCACTTAAACAAAAACTATCAGACAGAGAGGTAGGAATAAATATAACAGTTTTTAAAAGTTGTTCGTTTTTTAAAAAACAATAATTCAGTTTAAGCAATTTTGTACTCTTGTCTGTAACAAGTTTTCCCCATTAGTCTTTTTACTGTGTATTGAATAATTATGATGTTGTGTGCCACATTGTTAGAATTGTATTTTTGGCTAGAGTGAGCCGCAAGCAAGTTTGTTTCCATCTGTTGAGAGTGTATATATAGTGTGCAAGATAAAACAGGCACCCGCCGTGAGGTTCCTGGTTTACATTGTAGACTCATTACGAAGTTCTATGTTCTGAATGTTGAACCTCTTCATTGGTGTGGGAAGATGGCTTCCAACTGTTTGGTGGTACAAATTCCTCATTCATAAATTGCCACCGGTTTTCATAAAATATTATCAGATATATCACATACATCCTGATGTCGATTTTCTATAATAATGCAAATGTCATTAGGCAACAAATAAACAAATAAAAAACAACAAAACCCATTGAACGAGTGGTTAATCTTCATGCCCCTTGACAGCAGATCACAATAAATAAAATACGTTGTGACCACTCGGTGGAGTGGAGTCACATTTAGCGTGAGATCTTGTTTTTAACTCAAAGAGCATAAGCAAAGGCTCCACTAACACACATGTGAGTTAAGACTTCCTACCTCCTGTCAGCAACGCGTTCAGAGCGCGGCGCCGCGGCCGCGGAGCACCACGACGACGACGTCCTGCGTCGGTCAGGATGATCCTCGCGGCTGGCTGCCATGGCTGGCCGCTCTGTGCGCGGCTGGCTGGCTGCTGCCTGGCCGGCTGAGGCTGGGCTGCGTCACCCCTCCAACCTCCACCGCGCGCCGCGCCGTCCGTCCGTCCGTCCGTCCGTCCGTCTGTTTCCCCGGCCGCGGGGCCCCCAGTCAGCGAGCCAGCTCCGCCGCCAGCCGCCAGCCAGCCGCGCCGTGCCGCCAGCCAGCAGCCGGCCAGCCAGTCAGTCAGCCGACGCCGAAGGAGGTGGGTCGCGGTCGGCGCGGTCGGAGCGCGAGCGCAGTTCAAATACGCCGTCCGCCGTTTCGCAGCAGTTCCACTGCGGCCCGTGGTCCCGTCCGCGTCGCGCCCAGTCTGGATTACAGTGCAGTGCTTCAAGTGCAAGTGTGCGGGTCCCGGCCGCGGGGCTGGTGGTGGTGCGGCTAGTGCAGCTCAGCCGGTGCAGCCGCCCAGCGCGGCCTGTCAGTGTCAGTGTCTGTGAATAGTGAATGTGTTAAGTCAGGAGCAGTCTTCTTGACCCGAGTGCAACGTCGCTGTCCGTTGCGCAAGCTGCGCAAGTCTCGCCGACGTCAAGGATTACCCTCTCTGGATACCGCGGCCGCCGCGCCGCCGCCGTCGGCGTCCTGGTGAGCAGACCACCACCACCCTCGTGACTTGTCACCCTCGCGGCACTCGCGGGGCGCAACAGCTGCCAGCCGCGCCGCCGCGCCTCGCGCCACCGCTCCGTCGGCTCTCCCGGGGCGGGGCTCCCCCGCGACACCCCCGCGACTCTCCCGAATGCCCTCCTGAAGGCCCTCCCGAAGGCCCTCCCGAAAGCTCTCCCGAAAGCTCTCCCGAAAGCTCTCCCGAAAGCTCTCCCGAAGGCTCTCCCGAAGGCTCTCCCGAAGGCTTTCCCAAAAGCCCTCCCGAGACTGTCCCAAAGGCTCTTCGGCCGGCTTCTCTCCCGCGGCTGGGCGCGAGGCGGGGCGCTATTCACCACCACCGCGCAAGTGTAAGACCAGGGCGACGACACAGACACGACGGCGCACACACGGCCGCCCCGAGAAAAAATAGCCCGGCCATAACGTTGGCCTCGTCAGGACGTGTGCGCTCACTCACTCACACACACGCACGCGCGCGCGCGCACGCACTCGCGGCCGCGGAGGCGTGTGGGAGAGTCTGCGAGGGGCAGGTGTGAAAGTCGGTGGGGGGCGGGCTGCCTGAGGATGTCGTGCTTGTTGCCAGCCAGGTGCATCGCCGCGACGCGACGCCAGCCGCCACCCCCGCGGCCGGGTCAAGGCGATGGGAGGGCGAGGGTGAGGAGGTGAGCTGAGCGCGCGGGCTGGCCGTCAGGGGAGGCGCGCCAGCCACCCCGAGCAGGTGTGGGAGGGAGAGGAGGGGGGGGGGGGATGGTTGAGATTAGATGA